CCGTTTTTTTAGGCACTTTTCTAACTTCCATTTTTTCTTTCTAACTGGATTTTTTCCCCCTCTTGTTAATTCTTGGGCTTCTCGTTCTCCTCATTCTTCTCCCCATTTCTCCTTCCCCTTCCTACTCATTCTCGTTTTCTCCATCCCCACTTCTAAGCCCTGAATTTATAATGGGAACTTACATATGATTTCTTATTTTTGTTTTCACATACGGGTTTTGTTTCTAACCACATTAAATGCCTCTAGAGAACAGGATTCGTTTGTTTGTTTGTTTTTTCATGTGTTTAGTACAATTTCATATATAAAGTTATGTTTTGTATAGTTATTTATGCATGACTTTATAGCTACATGAGCTAATAAGATCCTTGAAGATGGGTTAAAAGGTAATATATTATCCTTTATTACAGAGTTAAAAATTCACCACTTAAACAGTCTCCAGGTTATCAGACAGAACTAGTTATTCAGTTGGTGTGGGTGAGTGGAGAACCACCACAACAAATAACCAGCCTGGCAGTCAATTCTTCCTATGGATTGTGAGTATAATTTATGTGTTTCTCATACATTCTTTTATTTTTAAAAATAGAAAAGATGATCTTCATTATAGCATCAATTAAAAAGTTGTATAACTTTAATTTCAGATCAAATTCAGCATTTGTCTGGAATATAATTCTGTTTCAGATAATTTACTCTGAGTATGCTTATACTGCTTCCTAATGAATTGGGATAAAGGTTTGAAGTCAATATACCATCTCCTGGCTCTACTCTCAGAAATGATTTCCTTATTAATACTCAGTATAATGGAGGTCTAACAACATGAACGCAGAAGACTTTGTGCTGAGCTGATTCTGTAAATGTTGAATCAAACCTATATAATGTCTTCTTGCCACTTTCAAAGTTCACTTGTATAAATTGTAAAAGCATAGTAATAGTTTATTGAAGTATTTATACTGCAGGTGTATTATCAATTCATGCCTACAAGTATTTAGTATTAATTAGACTTACTTTTTACTATAATTTGGTAGACTCATAGAGTATTTTTGTTTTTTTAAAAATCAGCACTGTGGTATCAGAGAAGCCACACACTCACTGTGCAGTCCCAGGGCCATTTACTGGTATGTGGGTCTCCTTGATGTAGTCCTAGGGACTCACTGATCTTTCTTCTTCCTCCTCTGTCATCACTCAGTCTGTCTCTTGCGGATGTATACCTAGCTAAAATTGGCTATAGTCTGAGCTGGTTTTCTCTCATGTCTTTGGTTTGCTGCCCCACAATATAAGAACACAAACCTCTCCTTGTTAATATTTCACTGCCCACAACCATAAAGGAAGGAGGGAATAAGAAAAATAACTAGTAGGAAGTTTTAAAGGAAGTTGCACATCAGTTGATCACAGGCTCATTGGGCTCACAGTTAACATTGCATTTAGCCCTTTTTTGTATATTTTTGACATTTGAACTACTTGCCAAGATAATTTACTATGCAATCCATATTTAGAACTTCAACTGAAAAACCTGATCATCTGGCCCATGTCTCCATTCCTCCTTAACAGTCGTCAGCAGAAATGGAGTTGAAGCTTTTTCTCTTTAGATGGGTCATACACTCTCCAGTTCACTCTAGCCCTTGTCTGGCCCGTTCGTATTACTTACAGAGCCCCTCCCTCTATACATTTCAGTTTTCAACTCCTGGTTTAAGACATCTTAAAGGAGTAAAATTTCTTTATTCATAATTGTTTGGTTTGTAGCTCCTGACTTATAATAGGGAAGGTATTTGGAATATTCCAAAGGGAGACCTCCAAGATTTAATGCTTTCTAGTTTTATTCTTGACTGTAGAGATTACCACAACTTTTGAGCTGCTCAAAATGCCCTTAAGTCAAAAAAATAAAAAATAAAAAAAATACATGTCACATTTCCTAGGATAGGGGTTTATGACTATGATCATGTTTCACTTCCTATGCCAACTTCTTTTTTAATGATATTGATTTGTAATCATTAATGTCTGCAGAAGATCTGTACAGTTCCATGAGAAGGCATACGTAATGTGTAACCTGTGTTTCCATGCCTCTGATAGTCTGCAGTTTCAGAGAGGAATTTTGTGAAAAACCCATCCTTCTTCTTTTTCAGCCTTCAAGACTACAAGTACGTATCCTTATACTTGTTTATGCTAAAGTATTTGCTCTTTTCCTATTCCCAGGGTAGTTTTTGGCAATTGTAATGGCATTGCTATGGTAGACTACCTCCAGAAAGCAGTACTCCTCAACCTGGGCACTATTGAATTATATGGCTCCAGTGATCCTTATCGGAGAGAACCCCGGTCTCCTCGTAAATCTCGACAACCTTCAGGAGGTATAAAGAAAAAGTCCTGAGTTTTAGGATTTCTATAAATACTAAAGCTACTTCTGTGAATATAAGTACTTCAGTGAGATAAATAGCTTGTCTGACTTAGTCTATATATATAAACTGTCAAAAACTAGTAAAAGTTTAGAGCCTTCTTTGTTTTGTATTATTATTAGATTTTGCTTTTGTTTTAGGATTTTAATTAATGTTGGGAAAGAACCACAGTGGCAAGCTTCTTCATCTAAATTATGAGATGAAAATTTGTCTCATTATTGTGAAACAAAAGTTAATTTCAAAGTTTTGCCCCCTTTATTACTTGGTATTGTGAGACCAAAAATTCATTGTTCCAACTATTTAATTTAGAGGGAGCATTTCCTATGTGAAAAAAATGTAAATGCAAAAGTGAATTTGAATTCTATGAAAATACAGTGTTTTAGGTAGCCTTGATTCAATGCAAACCCAAACCCATTAAGAATTCTCTTGGTAGGACTCTTTTGTGTTTTCTGCATAAGTAATCTAATTTTAAATGTTTTCATATGTCTGGTTGGTTATCTATACCAGTACTCCTCACCCCCCCCACTTTTTTTTACCCCCATAGTATTGGATCTCTGGCACTTGGGGTATATTAGTGAGGCCTGCAGCACTTACTGGCCTACAGGTTCCAGTCTCCTCAGGACCTGTTCCACTGGACCAGATTAAGGGGAGCAGTATCTCTGGCTGACTTAGCCCGTTTGCAGAATGCCAGTGTGCAGTGGAACGCTGGGAAGCTCACGTATATACTTATAACTCAGCCTCTCCGAATTAAAATTCTCCCTGAGATTCATTTCTCATTTGCTCTCATGACATAATTAGCTAGTGCTACCTTTATCACAGTTCGTGACAGAAGAAGAAAAAGGTGGTGGGATATAGACCTTACTGTCACTTTAGCTTGATGGTTGAACTTTCTTTTCCATTTTTGTTTTTGTGTGTGATCATTTTGTCTCGCGTTATCTTCAGCAGAAATTTTCCCAACCATACCATTCTAGTATCTTTGTCTCCTTTTTTTTTTCTTCTTCGCTTTTCATTGCTTCACTAAGGTGGGCTGATTGTGACTTCTTGCATGTGCGGCCTTTCTAGCTTATATTCTGAATCTGTGAAAAAACTCCGTTCTTCCTTAAGTAAGTTATTTATTCCATATCAGTTAAGTCACAGCATGTTTGTTTGTTGTATGTAAAATCATTTTTTCTCATTTATTTTTAAAAGAGCTTTTAACAGCATTATATTTCTAAATTACATATCTAAATGTTCGTCCTCGTTACTTGAATTCATCTATAATATGAATGTGAAAATAGCCATTGAAATGTTTGCATCCGAATCCAGTTTTTTAATAAAGCAAAAGAAACTAATATTTAGTTTAGACTAATATATATTTATAATGTTAGAAAGTTAAAACATTGTCATGGTAGAGAAGACAAGTACTTTTGGCAGTTTTACCACAGAGCAAGTAAAAACTTGCTCCTAAAATTCATTTATCTTATTCCTGATACCTCATCATAGTTTCATAAAATTTCCAGAAATTAAATACCTAAACTAATCCAAGGATAGAAACCAGTTTTACCGTCTGATTTCAAAAATATTTCTTTCTTAAATTCTATGGCATCTTATTTTATTCTAGAGTAAATCTTGTAATATTATTTATATTATTATTTGATGTTTAGGCACAGGAGAACAATTTGAATTTTTCTTTTGTCATCTTAAGATACTTAAGCTCAGCAGTAATAACATTGAGGATTATGTATTAAATAAAATTAAAAGAAAGTTATTTTAGAATGTGATTTAACATTTTAAGGATATTTATGCCTTAATTCTAAAATACTGTAACTATTTATATTTCAAATAAAATTAAATGTGAGATAATTGATACTAAAATTCTTTAATTGCATTGATAAAAATTATATTCTTGCAAAAAAGGTGTGTTTTACAATATATTCTGGAAGTATAGCCCAAATACCACCAGGTTCTTCTATTTTTTTTAAAGATTAGTTTGGAAAAATGTTTTAATACTAGTAGATTCTAAAACGTTTTCATAACAAGTAAGGTGTCACTGATGAAATTATTTTATAGGCATTACTGTCTAAGGGTTATACAGCTGTATTAAAATATAGTTGAACCCACAACTAAAATATGTACAGTGTTTTCATAATAAAAATTATGAGGCTGTTACAGGGGCAAGTAGTGATAAAGTATTTCAACCACCTGTGTATGTCTGCTGAAAGTCTTAATTATAACAAAAGTGAGACAGGCTAGTATGTGTCATGTTTTGCTGACCACTTTTTGACTCTGTGAAGGATAAAAAAGGGAAATTTCTGTTCTGAATATAATTTTAAACCCTAAAAAGATCTGCATAGTGATGTGAACATGATAGACCCATGAGAAATAAGTTACTTAGTCTTGGAAGTTGATAATTATAAAGAAGGGAATTAGAGGGACGAAGCTGTTCCTGACTTTAGGAAACATATTTTCAAAAGTTTTGGAGAAGTGTCTCTGAAAATGAAGATTTGGGCTACAAAGTTGTAGTTAATTTCAGGTCTTCAATATTCTCAGTAGGATAGAAAAAGAGAAATAGCTATGGAGCCTAGTAATACTAGTTGATATTTTTGTGCATGTGTGTGTTGTAAGAAACAAAACACTATATAAGAAATGAGGGATATAATCAAGGATGCATAATAAGTGTTGCATAAATCAGTAACTACTGTGTTGAATATAGGCAGGTTTTCAAAAAATGGGAAATAGCAAAATGTTTGGTTTCAATGAAAATATAATTAAGAAAGGATTAGGACTCTAGGGATCAGTTGAAATGATAGTTGAAAAGCAGAATGTAGAGCTAAATAACTTTGTTTCTCAACACTCTCTTAATGAGAAATTATTTATGTTTCTGGAAAGTGAAAAATAATGAAGAGAAATGAAAATCTAAGCTACATTATGTATGCAAAACAGACCTTGGTAATAAACAGTAATAAGGTAATAAAAAGATCTCAAGAGGATTTGTGAAGAAAATTTGTAAACAGTTTCCAAGTTTTCAAAGGTCAGATATTTTATAAGTCATTAAATTTGATGTACAAATCAGTCAGAATTCTCAAATGATTTGTGTGCATATTGAAATGCCTTGTGTGCATATTGAAAATAGAACTGTCAATTGAAACCAACAGGAATTCACTAACAGTACGAAAAATCAGTGTTACTTTTTTAATCTCGTAACTACGTTAATGGTTTATGGCAGCCTGTTGACCTAATGTTTCCTGAAGTTAATCAGATATTTGATAAAGAATTCCATGTATATTTTTTATGAACCGAGCAGATGGAAGCAACCTAGTTCAGTTTGACAATTGCAAGATTGATTAAAAAAAAATTTTTTTTTTCAACGTTTATTTATTTTTGGGACAGAGAGAGACAGAGCATGAACGGGGGAGGGGCAGAGAGAGAGGGAGACACAGAATCGGAAACAGGCTCCAGGCTCTGAGCCATCAGCCCAGAGCCTGACGCGGGGCTCGAACTCACGGACCGCAAGATCGTGATCTGGCTGAAGTCAGACACTTAACCGACTGCGCCACCCAGGCGCCCCAACAATTGCAAGATTGATTAAACCAGAGTCAGCAAACTATGGCCCATGGGCCAAATCTCTTCCACTGCTATTTTTGCTAATTAGAACATCATCCTTGCTTAGCTGGCCCTAAAACCAATCTAGGCCTTCACATTTGCCAATCCATGGACTAAACCGTGGTATCTATTTAGTGGGTCAATTTATAGCCTACTACTAATTTCTGTGGTGTGCCTCAGTAGATATAGAATGCTGAATAACATGATTATGCTTGTTGTCCTTAAAGGATAACTACTACATCTGAGAGCAAATACCCATAAAGATATTGGTAGGTAGAAATCATAAACCTAAATGATATACCATAGTCACATAGTATATGCCATAGGATCACATATATCAATTAATGTAGGGTTGGACTTTGACTTTTACCCTAAGCCAGATGGAATGGAAGGCTTAAAATTTCAAAATTGATTATTTTTATTCAGTATTAGGCTCACTGTAGTGCTAGAGTATATTAGAGTTTACTATCACCACTATTTATTATTGAGGTAAAATTGGCACATAACATTATTTTAGTTTCAGGCATGCAACATACCAATTTGATATTTGTATGCATTGCAGAATGATCACAGTAAGTCTAGTTAACATTCATCACCTTGCATAGTTACGAAATATTTTTTCCCTTGTAATGAGGACTTTTAAGATCTCTTTTTTTTTTTTAATTTTGTTTAATGTTTATTTATTTTTGAGAGAGAGAGAGAGCATGAGAGGGGGAGGAACAGAGAGAGAGGGAGACACAGAATCTGAAGCAGGTTCCAGGCTCAGCTGTCAGCAAAGAGCCCGACTCAGGGCTCGAACCCACGAACTGTGAGATCATGACCTGAGCTAAAGTCAGACGCTTAACCGACTAAGCCACCCAGGCGCCCCTAAGATCTACTCTTAAGCAGCATTCAGATATCCAGTATAGTATCACTAACTGTAGTTATGCTGTATATTATATCTCTTATTTATTCTGTAACTGCAAGTTTGTACCTTTGACTGCCTTTACCGATTTCTCCCACCCTCCATACCCTGCTTCTGGCAATCACCAGTCTCTTCTCTGTATATATAGGCTTGTTTTTTATTGTTGTTTTGGGGGATTTTGGGGGCTGCAGGATTAGATCCCACTATATCATACAAGTGATATCATACAGTAGTTTTGTTTTTCTGTCTTATTTAACATAATATCCTTGACATCCATCCATGTCACAAATGGCAAAATTTTATTTTATGACTGAATATATCTATTGTGTGTGCGAATGTATATGTGTGTGTGTATCCCCCACATTTTTTATAAAGCCTACATTTTCTTTATCCATTCATCCATAGATGGACACTTAGATTGTTTCTGTATATCACTACTATTTAAAGACCTGCTGTTTTGGGGCGCCTGGGTGGCGCAGTTGGTTAAGCGTCCGACTTCAGCCAGGTCACGATCTCGCGGTCCGTGAGTTCGAGCCCCGCGTCAGGCTCTGGGCTGATGGCTCGGAGCCTGGAGCCTGTTTCCGATTCTGTGTCTCCCTCTCTCTCTGCCCCTCCCCCGTTCATGCTCTGTCTCTCTCTGTCCCAAAAATAAATAAAAAAAATAAATAAATAAATAAAAATAAAGACCTGCTGTTTTAGTGTTTATCAAAAAGAGTTCATTCGGGCTCTGTGCTCACAGCTCAGAACCTGGGGCCTGCTTCAGATTCTGTGTTTCCTTCTTTCTCCACCCCTCCCCCGCTTATACTCTCTTTCTCTCTCTCTCTCTCTCTCAAAAATAAATAAAACATTTAAAAATTTTTGAAAAGTGCTGCCTAGGTGGCTCAGTCGTTTAAGCGTCCAACTTCGGCTCAGGTCATGATCTCGTGGTTCGTGACTTCAAACCCCACATAGGGCTCTGTGCTGACAGCTCAGAGCCTCAAGCCTGCTTCAGATTTCGTGTCCCCATAAATATTAAAAACATTTTTAAAGGAGTTCATTTATATAAACGAATATTTTGTGAAAGATTAAATTCATACCTATTACATCCATCATCTTTGAAGTATAAAAACTAGTTTTGGGTTTTTGTTTGTTTTGTTTTGTTTTTCCAGAACAATTAGTGTAATAAGTGTAAAAAGAAAAAAAACTGGTTATCATTCAAAAAGTTCCTACTTAATGAAGAAAAATATATAATTCAAAATAGAAAACATTTTTATAAACCCAATTCAATACTCTGTGTTCTCTGAAAATGTTATTGCAAAAGGTTTCTTAGTGACTGGATTGTGACATTATGTCTTTTACCAAAAGATTGGTAAAGTAGATACTGGCCACACATGTACATATGTTGACAGGATACCTGATTTCTGAGGTCTAGATATGTAGCCCCTTGTGTGTTGCCCAGCCATCCCAAACTCTTGACATGTGTTTGTAATTTTCAAAGAATTTTCAGAAATTCTTTTCATTCCAATCACTAAACAACTTACTGTCCATACTGATTGTTTACTCTGCATGTTACCATGTCTTTTAATTCTTGTCCACAGCATAAAATACCTTGTTACAGTTGCTCCTAAGAATTTAGGCCATCCCCTAAGATAAGTTCTATGTAATTCATATACATCTATGAAAAGAAAGTATTTCTTTAGAGCTCCTTTTAAAAATGTATGGCTTAATTATTAAGAGGTATAGTCCTATAAGAGGAGTAATGTACAATATTTTAAATATTGTAAATGTGGAGGTACAAAATATTTTCTTAATTATTCATAAATATTCAAGGCATGTGTTTGAGACATACTGAGTGGAAACCACTTTGAAGTTTGAGTTGAGAGTTCCTATGATGTAAAAAATTACCAAATTTATTACCAAGTACTTATTTTCCCTCAAGAGAAGTCCAATAAGTCCATCATATACTCTCAAATTAGTTTTTTTGTTTTAATTTTTTTTTGATGTGGTATTTATTTTTGAAGGAGAGAGAGAGACAGAGCATGAGCGAGGGAGGAGCAGAGAGAGAGGGAGACACAGAATGAGAAGTAGGCTCCAGGCTCTAAGCTGTCAGCCCAGAGCCTGATGCGGGGCTCGAGCTCATGAACTGTGAGATCATGACCTGAACCAAAGTCGGACGCTTAACCGACTGAGCCACCCAGGTGCCCCTCAAATTACTGTTTTTCAACAACGTTCTACTTTATGTCTAATGTCCTTGAAGAATAGCAAATTATATCTTGGAAGTTTTCTTTTTGCTTAACTGATGACTACTGTATTATTTTGAGGTGATTTAATATCAAATGTTCCTATTTCCTGTCTCAAGATTAACAGGCACAATGGTATCAAGGCCAGTACGCTCCAGTCATCTGCTTTTTTAAAAATGGTCAGTCGTTAAATGTGTGCTGTAAATAGGGATGAAACTGCTCTTACATAAATTTGTATTGTGATTTGGGTTTTGGTTTTGTTTTTTTAGCAGGTCTATGTGATATTAGTGAAGGGACTGCAGTCCCAGAGGATCGCTGCAAATCTCCAACTTCTGGTAATTTGTTTTTTTATTTTATTAAGAATTATAATCTACAGAAACCATTGTAGTGTATCAAAATTCCTTTTACAGATAAGTATTTAAAATAACACCTATAAGAAACTTTTGTGTTACATATTTATTCTAAAAATCATAACTTTTCTTTGCATTCTCATTAAGTGAAAAGAAATGTACTAGACAAAAATCCACAGCTCTTACCTGCTAAGAGTCCTATAGCTGTTCACTGGCTTTCTAATATTTACACTTTTTTAGAGAAAATATATTTTACTCCTCACCATTGGAGCAGATGGGTTAATCTGCAACCTTGTCTCTGCTCTAGGCATGCCTGGTATCATCTGGTAGAATAGTGCCCTAATTCTTGAAAAATGTCCACTTAAATATTACCAAAGATTTTTAACATTTATAATCCAGTGGTGACTGTAGACAAAATAATTGTAGGCCATATGTGTTTTTGGTTTTGGTCAAAGTGATATTTGATATAATTTTATAGCTATATTATAGCTTTTTGTCCATATTATATAGGTTTTTATGTGATCTATGTATATATAAATATTTCAGTGCAACATAATTTTTGGTACCTTTTCAGTCTCCTTAAGATTAAGAGGATCCTGAATTATTATTATTTTCAGTGGGTAGAAACTTTGCCAGTCTTTACTAAGATCAACTTCACAATTTTAACTACCATATTAAATCATTATGGCTGGGAATATTTGTCAGCTTTGTACTGGAAAGATTGTTCTTAGCATAAAGTAACACAGTTCTTAGATAGATTTGGATCCTTCCATAGCTGGTTCTCCTACATCAGAAATCATTTTAAGCATGGGAAATATTGAGAAGTGCATTTTACTTCACTCCCTCATGTTTCAGTTTAGCATTTTATTAGACCTAGAACTGTAAAAGTTTTGTGATAATTTTCTTTTTGAAATTCCTTTTCCTAATACTACATAAGTTATAGCTTTTCTTAAGATATATCCACCTTCTGGTTTTCTTAATCTTTAAATTTCATAATTAAATTCACTCATTATTGAAACATGGAGCCATCAGAATTACATAGTTAGCACCTACTGCTAAGTCTGCACATTGGTACAGTAAACTTTGAATGATATGGAGCAAGTAATTCTATTTCTGATCTGACAGACCTAGAGTGATTTCTGAATTTGGAATTTAGAATTATAATATCTTTTCATTACTGCTGTTCTGTGTCCATCTACCTACAATACTGTTCTGGTCTTCTCACCTCTCTCTCCAAAGACCATGTGAATGCCATTGTCAATGTGTTAAGGCTGTAAGCCAAATTGGATGATTTGGATATGTAATATAGAACCCAAGTAAACTAATATTCCTCATTATCCTAAGCCCAATTTTCAACAGGTGTACAGGTGTGTGTATATATGTGTGTGTGTGTGTGTGTGTGTGTGTGTGTGTGTGTGTGTGTATCAGTTCGGAATAACCAAAAAGAGGTATTTATAAGTAAGTATTTAAGTATACTAAAATCTCATAAGTATATAAATATAAAAAGTGCATAAAAGTAAAAACTCTCCAAATAGCTCCTTTTGTACCTGAGGAACTCAAACATTGTTGAACATTTTCAAATATATTATGCTTTTTTGTCCATGTGAAAGGACAGTATAGTTTTAACATACAGATGATATGATACTGGGTATTGTTTCGAGTGAGTTTGAACTGCAAAGTAAACATTGTGACTGAAAAAATCATTGATAAATCACAAATTCTTATCTTAGATATAAAACTTAATTTATTTAGTTTAGTCTTTGACTATGCTCTGAAAGATATAAGAATTTCTGAAGAATTATATCCATTCCTGCATATGAGGAAAGACTGCTTTCACAAAAAAACATATCAAATTTTAGTAGATAGTAGTTGTGCCTGAAACGTGTTTCATAGAGCAGGAAATAGATCTCCCTCATGCATACATACTAAAACATACAGTAGAAACTAGAATAAAATTCTGGAAAACTAACCCTTTGACACTTTTTCTTACAGCTGTGTCTTTCACTACTTGTCCATTTTAAAATAGCTAATAGTAATTTTTGCTACCCATGTTGGGCCAGTTGTCTTATTCTTTGCACATTTGTAACTTTTTTGCCTTCATTGCTTTTAGAACCCCAATAAAGGAATAATTTAGTATCCTTCCTCTCCCCAGTACATGAAAATTCTTTTAGTTTAGAATGGTCAAAAAAGAAAAAAATGGTTGGGGTAAGTTTGAGGTGAATCAGAGGAACCACAAGGCAATCGTGTTATTAAAACCATGGAAAGTAGTAATTAAATTACTAGCCTCAAATACTTCCTGCATTGTGATAGGATATCTATCTGTGTATATCTATCTATCTATCTATCTATCTATCTATCTATCTATCTATCTATAGTTAAGTGATATAATATAGACTATTAAAACCAATATAGTTAATAGAAAACAGTGTATCTATGAGAGAAAAAGAAATGCATGAAAGTGGGTTGGAAGTTAGTGAGTCTCTCATAAATACTAGAAGAACCACTATTATAGAAGTAAAAAGTAGCCATATGTCCTTTAGCAAAATCAGTGTGTTTACTCAAAATAATAATATAGATGAGGAAAAACTTTTTTGAAAAACATTTCAATCCATGATCAAAATTGGTGATCCCAACAATTTGGCTGGTCAATATCAAAGCTCTATTCAAAAAGCATACTGAGAATATCCAAGTTATGAATATAGTTTGCCTTTTCCACTTATTTTTAAATAAACCAGGAGTCTCTCTGAAGTCGAATATTAATTCTGTCATCTTGAATTAACATAAGAAATCACTTCTTCCATTTCCACTTGATCTCTATTTCAAAGAACTCAGATTTCTTTACTGAGCACTTTAATCATGGAATTTTGTTTTAGTACTGCATCAAAAGAGTATGTGTGTGTGTGTGTGTGTGTGTGGTGTCTACACATATGTGAAAATGATAAAAACATCTGTTAGGTTATTTCAGGTTGAAGAAGGCTCAGGGCCACATTAACCATGATATAAACAGTGCCTTCAGGAGTTTCCATGTACCCTAAAAAAAAAAAAAAAACTGTAGATAAGTTCAGTGTTTATTTTATCACAGTTATTTGGTAAATATATTCAAGTGAGATATGCTGAAAACATTTTTGGAACTTTGACAAAAATTCTGACAACCAATGATAGGCATTTTCAGTTAGGGGAAAAATAAATCCGTTTGCTTTACATTTATGGCTTCTGTTGCCTATTACATTGGAAATAACTAAAAAACATTTTTATGATTTGATATTCATGTTTGATATGTTACCTAGCTATTGCTCTAAAATGAAATATATCACATAAGTATTAATAATTTTTTTTACATTCCTGTGGCTAACCTCTTATAACCATTATCTTCTTTGAAAAACAAGTATATCCATCTCTACTCCTGAAAATGTTCCATCGAGTTCAGTGTTACTTATGTGATATTTTTTGATATAGGATTTATAAGGATCCATAAGTGCTATTTAACAAAAATAACATGGTTTTTAAGAATAATCTTTTAAGACTATTATAGAAGTAATTGGATACTGCCAATGTTGACAGGTTTTACTTGGTCCTTGGAGAGACTTCAAAGATATTTTCCACTTGGCCAAAGAAAGCATCAGTTTGACCTTATTTATTAAGGTTCAGTACTTTCACTGGGATAAAAAAGAAAAAAAAGTAAAGAAAAACGGCCCGGTGTTTTAGAAGTGCAGTGCAGTTGGAAAAAGACGTGTGTGTGAACTTAAAATATGAGGTATTAAGTGAAGTACACATCATAGGTGAAGTATACAAAGGGTTGTTGAAATTCAAAAGGGGGGAAGTGATTTATATCGAGGAGACTGGAAATTTATGGATGAGCTATCATTTGAAATGTGCTATTATGAAGAATAGATCATTTAATAATAGAAGTTGTCAACTAGAGTGCTACTTAGTAGTACATTTATAAATGAAACATTAATGTCAGAAATCAAATATAAAAAGCTAGAAACACTTTTTTTAAGGAAAAGGCAAATAAAATCTTAACAGTAAAAATATTAGATAAACTTATATTAGAAGTCGCAGCTGGAATAAAATTAACTATTTCTTACCTCATTAAACATAAGTAAGTATTTGAACATACCTAAAATTATAAGTATGATCCTCAGTTTTTAAAAGATCTCTATGGTAATAGTAGAATTTATATATGATTTTAACATTGGTATCTGGAAAGCTAACTCTGAAGTAAATTTTGTCAGTATACTTCTTGCCCGAGATTCTTAGTTCTAGATGAACCAACCTTATTCAGTTAACTAATATCGAAGAAGTTTTGCATTTTCGTTCAGAAACTGTTTATTGCTGCTTATATTGTTCTTTACCTGTTCTCTAACGTATAATGTATACCAAGATTTTTCCAAATGGTTGTAATTTATGGAGAAATCATTATAGAGTTAATATTTACATATATTAAGGAATTCTCTACCATGAAAGATAATGAACTACTGATTACTTTTCTTACTTTAATATTATGAAAATTGTTATTGATTATATGCATGACATCTCCTCGTGGCTAATAGTATGGAAACTTACCTTAGAGGTTACCAGATTATTTTGGTTGTACTTTTCCCTGTGACAACTCGTGTTTGTGACTGACTATGTGCTTGTTCCTTCCATTGTCTTGATTCGTGTAGGTTCTTCATCACCACACAATTCAGATGATGAACAAAAAATGAATAATTTTATAGAAAAGGGTATAGTATCTTTATTTTAAAGCATTTTCTTTTAATTATGTTTAATTTTAGTTTACTTTGAATAGATTTTGACATTTTATATCAAAATATTATTTTCAGTGAAGACCAAAAGCAGAAAGTTTTCCAAGATGGTAGCCAGTGATATAGGTAGGAAATAGAAATTTCTCTTTTGTTTCTAATCCTTGCTATATGCAGTGTTACTCAACACCAGAAAATGATCTAATGCATTGCATTTTGTATATATTAATTTGTTATTTCTATGCTAAGCAATAATCTCTTGGGCTGTTTCTTCTAAACTCATTGGGGCAATAATTATTGAAAATCAGTTAAATTGGTGTTGCAGTTTTTTCCTGACTTACAATGTGAATTATTCTGTTTTTATTTTGGCTTTATTTAAAATAAAGCAGGGTTCAATTTATGTCGTAAATAGTACAGTTTTATACCAAATTTTGAGATTTTTCCTTTATAGTTTTTATTTGTATTTTCTCCTACCTTTTTCCCATCCTTCTCAAATTTTTACAATCCCCAATTTCAATGGTTCTCTAAAATATTGACTCTGTAATCTGCACTGCCCTGGAGTTAAATGGGAATTTTCTTAAGACTCTCCCCCCAATCCCCACAAGTAAAACTAAGTGATGGAGAGTATTTTATATTAATCTCTTTGGCTGTTTTTATGAGTATACTTTGAATTGAATTACCCAGTCTAAGGTTTTCAAAGTTTAAAATTAGAAAACAAAATACATAATCAAACTTTGGGGATATAATCAAACTCTAGGATTTTTAGTTCATCATAAAAATCTGAGTATTCGCTGAAGATTTTTAAAGGCTTGAGAAGTACTGTTTTACAAAAAGAATAAATTTAATCTTCGATTTAAACCCACAATTTTTATTATACTGTTTTTTGTTATTTATTTCCTCTGAAATGCCTATCACATGTTCCTTGAATTATATTAAATGAGGAGCATTTCTAGGCAGCTGAAATAGATTTACCTTTGGTCAACTGATAAAGTTTAATATATAGTAAAATTAAATTGCCAAAATTCTCAGAAGTAGCGTCTATATTGTCTGCATATTGTAAATTGAACCCTGTTTAGTCATGTTAACGTTGGCTGACTGTTAGCACGTCTGGTCATTTTTTAAATAAGATGGTTTATTCTTGGGCAAAGGGCTCTTCATATATGGGGAATTGATTATCTCTTTGTGGTTTTATAGTGAATCAGTTGGTAATAGTTAAATCGCTTTAATTATGTACTAGCACTATCGCATAATACTTTTCAACCAAATTTTTTATACTATATTTTGTCTTAATAGTACTTACTGTCATATAATGTAAAAAGTTATAAGCGACCTTCCTACATACACTTTTGCAAAGAACTTTTATGATCTATCAATTATCTAGGAATTTTACCTTACATAAAAGGAACTTTGTATATGATTACATTTTTTTGAATAATTTCTCTGTCTGATTTTTGATCCTGTATTTGCTTTGTTAACTATGTGTTGACTAGCTCCTCTGTTTTTTTCTGTTGTGAATAGAACACATGACATGGAATATCTGAGTTTGAATATTTGAAAGTTTTCAATTAACAAATTTCTTAGGATTAAGAACATTACTAGAAGGAAGGATAGTTCTTTGGTAATGTTCTTGCTTTTTATGTTGTTGGCAAGTTTTTGTTTTTGTCATGCCAGTTTTTACATTTTTGGGGAAACACATTAACTTTATTCACCATTTCAACGGTTAGGTTAGTTACAGTTATACATAATTATTTTACATCTTCAGAAACTACTGCTCCTATTTTATATGTAATTTTGTTTGGTAATCTTCCAATATAGGTTTTAATCCCAACAGATTTACAAGAAAAGCTCTCTTCTCAATTTTTCCTTTGTTCAAATGGAGACTGCTCCATTTTAGACTGTAAAGTTTTTACAGTTAAAAAAAAAAAAGGAGTTTATCTTCCTACATTAGTGTCTAGTTTTGTAATAAGAGTTAACATAAAATATGCTATTGAAAGCACAATAAAATGTCAGTGAAACATTGCGGAGGGGGGGGTTGGAGAAACTCCTACAATCTCCTGAAGACCTCTCTGTCAAGACATATTTTCTGCGTAAAGTTTATGGTGTCAAAAGTGCTAGGATTCCTTGAGCATTCTGAGCTCACTGTGTTCCCTATCATGCAGTCCTGTACTTGCTCTGAAGTTCCCTGGGCCTCATCAAATTACCACCTCTTTCTTCCTCAGTCTACAGACATTTATAGCTTCAACTTTAGGAAGTTATGAAGTGGCCTCATAAAAGAAGGCATTAAGAATTAAGTCTAGACCCCTAAGATTGACACTGGTTAAAAAAAACAAACAAACAAACAAAAAACCCTCCTTGCATGGGAGACTGACTGAATGTCTTGGCTCTGATACTTTGTTTCTGAAGCTTTACCTTTTCTTTGAAAGTAACTGCTGCCGACATTGGAGGAGTAGGGAGCAAAATGTCATTCTTAAATAGTCTAACCCAAGCTTGGAAAATCAACCCCCCTTTTTTTTTTTTTTTTT